AGATCGCGTAGTTCCGGCTTTCTTATTATTTCCCCCCTTCACACGGACATATAGTACAGATCGCACGGCCCAAGGATTGAAGACGTAAGGGAGGGTGGGAATTCATGGTACAGCATCAAATTGTGAAAAATGCTTAATGACCAGTCGATAATTCGAACCAGCCCGTGCATTGGGTCTGAGAACTGAACAACTGTTAGGTTCTGTTGCGCGTAATCCCTTCAGACAGGTACAAAACATCCTCATGTTGCCCCCAAAAAAATCGATGCAAAGGGCTGGTCTTAATATTGATTCCCTTACAAATTCTGTACAACTACACGCCAAATGGCGGTTAACTGTTTCAATTCCATTCTGTGAGGTTAATTTAACACAATGTGATTCGTCGAGTCTCCTTTGCTGTTTAGAGCACCACTCGCTCGGTATCCCTTAATACTCATGGATGACGTCTAATTGATATCAGTATTGGTATTGATTGCTCTCTCGAATTGATTAGAGAGAGTTTTATCCAATTAGAAATGAGTGCTCCACTGGATGATTGGATACATTTATCAATTCCTGGAAACACTGTTTGTATAACATTGTCTATGTACGTCTCTAGCATAAATTTCACTGTTGTCCCTGACTAGAACACTAATCCCCGACAATGATTGTGTAGCTGACGCGATACTGAACGTTTGATACGAAAGTCTCAGCTGACTCATCATGGCGATGAAGCGTGTCTTACTAGTTCTTCCAACCTCATTGCATTCGAATCTTCATTAGATACAAAATAGAACAAGCAATACAGATATACTCCTATATATGGGAATTGTAAATCTACATACGGGCCAGAGCAATGCTAGTCTTCTTATCGTTGCTGGAAGCCGATGTATTATCGCTAGGCGGTGTTAGATTCTGCGTCGCCTGGATCTTGGGGACAGCGCCGAAGCGGGTGTTTCCGAGATCCCAGATCTGTTTCACGCACGCCGGTTAGTCAGTAAAAAATGAAAGTGATAAAGGGAAGAGAAGTTAGGCGGAAGTAGAGGAGAACGGAGATAGGTGGCAGAGGTAGGGTATTCTTACAGCATAGATGTTGCGCAGGAAGACGTCGCCAAGGATATCGAATGGGTTGGTGCCGCGGCTCTGGACGCCACCGTACCAGTGGCTATCGTCGGCGAGGGCGAAAGCGAGAGCCTCTTTCTGGATAACGAACTGGGTATTGCCGACGGCGACGGAGAAATCGGGTAGGTCATCAGCGGTAACGCTCGTGGGGAAGATGTAGCCCTGCTGGGTCGAGTCGTACGTAGCGCCGGGAATCTGCTTATACAGGGCCTCGCAGACCTCGTCGGATACGAGAGCCAGCGTAGTGCCCGTATCGGCAATAGCCTTATTACCGCTCTGCTGCGATGTGGTGCCGTTAAGGACATACGACTCCGAATTGAACATCCAGAACCCCTCTGAGTTATCGATGTCCGTGTATACAATATCGGCTTTGGACGCGCTGACGAGGTTCTGGTCTACGTACCCGAACGTGTAGAAGCTGTCTTCGTTGTCACGCTCGCTGTAGAAGGCCGATGTGAACAGCGACGCGTCCGCCGGGATCACGCCTTGCGAGATCATGTTCTCAACTGGTGTCGGGGCCGGGTCCGACTGCCCGTTTTTGGTTACTGTATTGATACTGCTGAAGGCAAGTCCAAGGAGACCGTCGCCCGTGCCCTGCGCGAACTGCGTAGACAGCTTAGTGGCAAGCTCAACTGTTTGGCCTGTAACGTTGAGTCCGCCGACGTTCAACACGTCGCTGCCACAGGTGCCCGAGGCAGTTGAGCCATCGCCGTATGAGATGTTCCAGTTCTCGCCAGATAGGGCCTTGTATGTGCTTGAACCTGTGGGATTGAACACGTTGTGGTTCTTTTGCAGAGAGCTGCTAAGACTCGTCGAGAATACCTACAAGTGGCGCTGTTAGCGCTTATGAACTGAAATATAGAAGTAAGGCGACCTACCCAGAGATCGGCAGATCCGGTGTCGAAATCCAGCATTAAGTTCTGGGCCGGGGTACCGATAGAGACCTGGACGAGATATCTTTGGGGTGTTGAAAATCAGCGTATATTTCTTTCAGTAATACATCGGGTGTTGAAATAAAACACTTCTGGCATCTAGCTCAAAAACACTTACTCCGTGTCGCCTTGCTGGTCATCGGCTCCCACCTCACCCGTCTGTGTGGTGCCGGTCTTCTTAACGAGGACGTGGTCCTTATGGACGCGTCCTCCTTTTTTATGATGTTCATGACGAGCAAGACCTCGCTGAGTGACACGGTTTATATGGTAGTATGGGCCTTCCTGGATCGAGTCAAAGCCGTATTTGCTCATGGAAGAGACATATGACTTGAGACCCGAACGCTTGTAGTTGGGGTTGCGAACAACTCGGAGCTTGGCAAGGCCGTCCATGATAGCGGTAGGTCTAATGGGCATGGGGTACTACTTACTAGTGGAACCTTTGTCTAACAGAGGATAGAGATAGTTTATTAGAAAGGAAAAAGATAAATGCTCCAAGTAATGCTCTGGGGAGCCATGATAAAGATATAGACGCGGCGAAAGTAGCAAGACAGAGGCTGTCCTGGTCCACAGGGCTTGACGTCTCATAAGATGTTAAACCTGTTTTAGTCTTTGATGAAGCACCTTACTCTTGTGATGTAGACAAACAGAGGATCGTTTCGCATCCAGCGTGGGGGCATTGCTTCAGCAGAGCTAGCGCAATGCTTTGATGCGAAACGGGGCTCGTTTTAGTGGCGACAGCTCAAGGAACGCGCAAGCTCGACAAGGGGGTCTGGGGCAGATGAGTTGTTGGTCCCCGTCGTCGATGTGACTATCGCGGGAGGCCGTGTCGACTTTCATGATTATGACGCATGTAGATTAATAGGTGAACAAGTAAGTGAGTATAAACCTGCCAGATGATGGCTGAGGTATCTCGTTCTGGCCGTGCGGTGAAGATCGCTAGTCACGATATGGTGAGCAGCTGCTCATGCACACCACCAGGTCATCACACATACCGCGTTTGCTTGTTACGATAGCTTGCTCACTCTGGCGACTTGATTCTATCCGGCGACCCTTGCCAAGTCTTGATGCACAGCTCTCAGGCATCAGACGAATCGGGAAGGTCTTGGTGCCAAGAGCTTGTAGGATGCCTCAAAAATGCTTGTTTTCTAACCATGCAACGCGTACCCGGCGCCACGGATTTGACGCAACCATACTGGCGGGTTTAGCTCGTATCTATTATTACCTAGTCTGGCGATGTCTTCACGACGGCTATAAGGTATATATGCCACCGCATAGCATACGAAACCCGGATCGTCGCGATTTTCCGAAACCAGGTAGCATGCCCATACTGATAAGGCCCTGCAAAGAGCACCATCTGACATCATCGCATTTGGTGAAATGGGTAGTATGGTGGGAATGTTTCGCCGAGTGTAGATTAGAAACATTTCAATTTACCTGAGCGCATCATGCGCCAAGCTCAGGAAGTGATGCATGTCATATACTTGGCGCGTGCATGGGTAGTGTGGGGAATCCTTGCATGTAATGATAAAGATATCAGATTCGTCATAGGTCGGCCCGGATAACTACCGCGTGGCTGAACCGGGAATAAATGTTTAAAAAGAATTACGGCATCTGCCAGAAACGACCACTGCGTCAAAAGATTAAATTTGTAAGCAAAATTCATGATATCGCTTATATCTGTCACAAGGCGCGGGCTCGCGGGCGCGGAACGATAGGAGAAGATAGCGCCCCGAGAGTCCTTCTCTCAACAACAAGCGTCTATTGCCCGCGCCATATACGGAGTCCGAACAATATCCAACAATATCATCATTCGTCTCAGCCTGAGCTTGTTCTAAACTAGCAGGAGTCGCCAGATTTAACACATTATAAGTTCTTTTCACTGGGGTCACGTAGAGGATTTTGTATAAGATGTCCCGCCCCATTGGATCGATTAGCTAGCTACTCGCTTCTATATCTCTTAATGTCACAAGGCATAGGCACAGAACAAAGAGATTGCTGTATATGGCAAGGTAGCGTCTACGAAGGTGTTTAGAGTCCTTCGCGCAACAACGAATGTCTATTGCCTACCCCAAGTACGGAGTCCATGACACTTAATCTCAAGACCCCAGCACTGGCGGCTGCTATTCTAACTCTTCTACACTTATATGCAACATCATAGAACGGGCGTTGTTGAAGACCCTATGCTGAATTACTGTATGTAATGTTAAACAGTCGGTATCAAAGGGTCTGCTGACTCATCAAAAGCTACTTTTTTGTAATATTGCAAAGGAGTGGCATAAGAGAGCAAGTGGTGGCATCTAAGCTATGTCACGGAGGAATAAGTTAATTTTCGGCCCCTTGAATGATTTCTTAGGAGGGTATAATTCTAAAAATTGGCTGAGCGAAAAAGCAAGGAGTTATGGTTTAGTTGCCAGTGACACTGGGACTTCTCATAATTCCACAACAATCCTGGTGCTTTCTTGCAAGGCAGAATGTTTCTACGAGTTATTCGAAGATGACATGCAGATCTCCTCGCGAGAGTCCCGATGCTAATAACTGTTTAGACCGCAATAAGCATGATCTCAATTAGATGAACAGCGCGGTGGTCTTGGTCGTATCATCGATGCTCAGCGAGTGTCAGGTATCAGCGTTTCCTTCGAAGATATAACCTAGAAGAGCTTCAATGATTTTTTTTGGGCGCGTAGAATATGTGCTCCTAAGTACACTAGCAGAGGCCTATAGCCAGAGTTCCAGGGTTACAACCTACAGTTCCGTATGATTGAGATTTGGGGGGGCTTGGTACTTTACGCCAGTAGTTGAGTGTTACTGACCTTTCACCCTCTTCATCCGCCCCTTCCTCAGGCCACACACATCTCTTCTTCTCTCCTTCCTCCCTTATACAGCACCCCTCTCTCCGATCTGTACTCCTTCCTCACCACACGACTACCTACGTCTCAGGTAGATAAACCAACTGAAGCAGTCCACTCCTAAGTCAAGTTGGCCGGATTGGTTAAGGCGGTAGACCACCGAGAGGCCCGGTGGAGGGGCTGAGGTCTTCTACTGGGGAAACCCGCTCGAGTTCGAGTCTTGCACTTGACATTACCATTCTTTTTATTAGTATAGTGTATAAATTTACTGTAGGCAATAGCTAGGTAATGGTGAAGTAATACATTAACAATTCCAGTCTCTTTAGTCTACGCGTTCGTTGGGGTGTACAGGAACCCCCAGCCTTTGACGAGATGCCAATACGACACGCAGTTTAGGATTCTGGGCTTGACAGCCCCGGAATAAAGCCACTCGTCAGGCACAAACACCACGTGAAGTGAAAGGCTACAAGTGACTGGCTTTGGTAATTACCGACATACTTGTATGTAGCAATGGGGATTGGCTACGAAGTACATTATATACTTTAGAGCATCGCATGAGTAACAATCAGTCGCTGTCCCGTGTAATGTCTTCCCTCGCACCAGAGTGCCACACATAGCAAACATTGATAGCAGGCTGCGTACTTAGTCAGTCCCAAGACCTTCCATGTTACTGATAGCACTTCCACTGTAGAAAAGGAAATATTATAACGTTTGAAAAACAGTACATGTCTACAACACGTGCATGGGAACCAAATACGTCCTATACCTACCTGTGCAGTGTGGTGATGCACTAAGAGATTCGATCGTTGACATTTTATGATTGGGAATTAGGAGGATTAGTGCAGCCAATACTGGAGGGGGTAGGTGCAGGTATCAATATCTCGTCGCTATGCATAGATATCGACGTACATGTAGCGCAAAGGGTGCCTAGGTATGTAGGTACTCAAACAATCAAGGGGCCTGAAGTTCGAAGCTTTTAGTTTCTTTCATACCCAGGTAGGTTATAATTTCTAGGAAAACCTAGATGAGGTGTTTCCTAACCTACGTGGACACGTTTGACTAGGTTTTCCCCTAGATGTCCCCAGGTATCCAAGCATATCTAGGTAATATCTTCCCGCTATATAAATTTCACTCGCATTTCTAACGTTACAACACTTATGTCTCCTTTAGAGCCCTACAACATTGCAAGCCTGCCACAGTGACAGTATTGCACCTTTGTACATGAGTTTCTTTTCGTTTCCGCAGTCGCGACAATGCCGCCAGACTCGCCAACAGCGCCGGATTCTCAAGCTTCTAGCATCCCGCAGCGGTGCACGAGAATCCCGGATTGGGCACGTACAAGAAAATATAGGTCACTATGGGCGAGGAGAATCAGCAACTTTACTGCGTTCAAGAGCCACTTGGAGACAACGACCGCTTTTGTATCCCTCGATATTGAGTCTCATCCAGATGGACGTATTACCGAGATCGGCATAGCATTTTTACCTGCTATAGGCCACGAGAGACCTGCCGACATCAAATATTTCGCCGAGAGCCACAATGTTGCCTTTCGTTGTCTGAAGATCCAGCCTCAAGGGCAGCAGGAAGGACGAAGGAATAGGGAGCATTTCAAATGGCGTTTCCAAGAAGCGACGATACAAGAAATCGATATCGATTTAGCTGAAGCCAAGATGATTGAATTCTTGGAGCATATCAGAGAAGCCTCCGATGTCCAACACCTCACCTTCATTGGTTTCGCCATGAACGTGGAGTTCAACTCAATTTTCCACCGGATGCCCGCTGTCGTGCAGTATATCTCAGCATGGGTCGACATTCAACCCATAATAGAGGAGGTGGACCGACTGGCCGGAACCCCGACCCATTACGGTCATCTGCCTTCGATGTCTGTCGCTATGGCAGGATTTGAGTTTGAAAAGGGGTACCAAGCTACATCCTTTAAACATTGTGCAGGCAACGACGCTGTCCGTATTCTAGCCCTCTTCACTTGCCTCGCCCATACACCTACTTTTGGCTTCAGGTTACGGCTAGATCAGATGCGTGAGGAGCGGCCACAAACTCGACAGACATACAATGGTTTTAAACAGATGCGAAAAGGAAGCTTGCTTAAGAGCAAGCGGTTTATTATTGAAAATTATCCCTTCAGGTGAGAATCAATGATTCTGTACTCCTTATTCTATGATTCCCGAGCCGTGTATTTTGAAGGCAATTTATATTATCAAGCATTCCGAAATGGCCGATATAACTCTAGGCTTCCCTGGCGAGTAATCACTAATTCTTGATAACGAAACAGAGCTGTCCTTTGTATGCAGGACGGAAAGTGCCCTGGCCCTGAGATCTATAGCCCGCTGAGGCTCGAAGAGTATTTCAGGAAATATTCTATCGAGGCTATTGGCCAAGATGGACCCCACGCCAATAGCCATTCTGAGGCTCAAGGTCGCCAATGTGGCCGCTATCTTGTCTGCTTCAATAGCGCAGATAAATTAGCTAGATTTGTGGAAGAAAATGATCAGAGAGCTCTCAAGTGTGGCCGGAAGCTCCGCGTGGTCGAGACGAACTGTCGCTACGAGCCAGTGAATAGAAAGGATATAGTGTCTGTACGAAAAAAGAACAAGGAGAATAGGGAAAATGTGCGAGAGGATGGCTTGGGACTGGATTTCATCAGTAACATGGAGAACATGACGATCTAACCTATTGGCCTACGCACAATTGTTGCATTCAACACATCGCATCACGCGGGCATCTAAATGCTCATCTCAACTTCCATTTAGCCTCAAGTCCCTAGAGCCTAGAAGAGGGTTCAAGAAGCTCTGGTAGAACTACCCATCTATATAATGTTTTTGTAGCACTTATACTATTACCACACTGGGAATGTAACGCCCACTGGGGCAATGACTTGAAGCCACTTCCTTAAACAGAATCCTGGAGGGTCCCGGTGACATGTGTGAAGTACGGTTAGAGCATAGAAGGACTGGTTCTGTCTTCGTATACTCATTGCTGATGGCTTTTGAGTTAATGACTAACTTCCCTATCCGACAGCATGTCCAGCGCGAGTACTCACGTAGGATATTCTTAATAGATAGGGGCACACTTGGTATAGCTCAGCCACAAGCTGGAACACCTGAGGACTTGGTAGGACAACACTAGGTAGCTAATGTGCTAGCAATGATGCAGTCGGAATCTTTTCTTCTCAATTCGTAGAGGCCGGGAAGGTACACGGAAATAGTGCTTAAGCCAATTCTAGTGAATCTTGATTGCTATCGACCGATGGGTTTGTATTTGAGGATCTCGTGATGCTCCTTTTAAGATATGAGGAAGAGTATTGGAGATAACCCCCGTCATATGAGACTCTATGTCATCGTTCTGTCTCTTCTATTATAATAATAATATCGCTAGCTGTAACATCAGAATGACTGGTATATAGTTATGAATCTAGCTGAAACCTATGTCGTTGATACGTAGACGGAATTAACGGAAATTAGATCAGAGGACATCATCTGCACCGACATTAAGTCCATGGTGTCTTTGATTTGCCTGAAGTACTGTATGTTATATGTATGTCGTAGCTAACGGTGCAGATATTAGATGTCCTGAGTAGGCGGTGAAACTCCGAGTCCACTTCTTCTCCATTAGATATGAGCGAATTACATGTGTTGATCATAAAATATTCCAAAGTACACTTATTTGGGAATCAAGAAAGCTAACTTATTACCTGTCAACGTTAATAACAAGAGTTGCTGCCCCAATATTATCATTGAATTCACATGAAATATCAACGAGTAGCTTTATGACGTTGGCGCTTGTTTCGATTACGTTGGTAGTTGGGGTCGTGACTGTCGGCTGGTTAGTATTGCAACTGAAAACTTGGGTCGTAGCCCTCATGGATATTCCCCTGGCCCTCCGGCTTTGCTAGTTATAGGCAACCTTCACTAGATGCCGAAAACAAAAGTGCATTTTCAGCTCTAGAAGTGGGCGAGTGAGTATGGGTAAGTTCTTATTACTGCGATTAGAACCTCTCAAGTATGACTATTACGTTATTAACCATCATGAAAGGCCTATATACTCTCTCATCCTCGGCACTCAGGTCACGATTGTGATCTCTTCGGACACGGTGGTGAAAGACCTGCTGGACAAGAGAAGTGCAATATGTTCATCTCGTCCTCAAATGTATCTTCCCAGACCATTGCCAGTGGTGCTCTTCGCTGAACTCTCATGGTTCGAGTTCCAAACTTGAATTTTCATAACGAGAACTTCAGCTAATGAGAAAACAGCAATACGGAGAGCCTTATCGCATGATACAATGTATTAACTATATGGTGCTGAACATAAATGCGTTACAAACTTACATTCCCTATCAAGACCTTGAGAATAAGCAGATACTCGTGGGCCTCCTCGAACAGCTTTATAATCAATCACATCAAGAATGAGGTCTGACCAAGAATCAGTAATTAGTGACTGCTGCAAGTAGCTATTTAGAACTTGACATCAATTACATCTAGTTATACGAGGAGATCTTGTTTTGACCATGTTATTAGCACAGATGCTAGCACTACTAACGTTGCTCCGAATATCGTTCTAATCATGCCTAGCTAAGATATTTCAGTTGTAGCTATTTCGAGTTTGTATAATGTTCCTTTTCAATGGAACTTACTTCTTAGTTACTGCCAACATACTAAATAATAGTGCATTATTTCGGGAAGTGCTCTTCCGGCATCATTAAAAACGTGCTCTTGCAGCTGCAGCTCCTTTTTCTGTCTATGCTGTATTTTTTCAAATAGTGTGATGAAGTATAAGGAATAAATCGCCAAATTTTTTAAGGTGATCTGGTAGCTAAAGCTTGAGTTCCAGCGTGCTAAAAACTGCCGTCCATCCCCTATGGATACCTGGAAGTAGATCCAATAACCGGTCAACAGCCCGGGATTAAGACTTAGCTCCACCTTAAAGTCCGAGTATTTACCAACTTCACCTGTTGATTTTCATGGCCAAGCTTTTATCTTATCATAGTAGGCCTTGGCCTTCACTATTAAAGTGTCACCTTGTATAGAGAGTATCAGAGGGATGGTGTAAGTTGACAAAATTAGGGAACTCTTCTCAAGTCACGTTGTTGGCTACTAATATCAGTTAGGCTAGCCCTTTCTTTTTACTCTCATACAACATCATCTACGGAATTCACCTACGATATCAATATGGCTGGTCATAATAATATCGCATTTTTCCTACGTACTACCACTTTCG